TCTCAGACAATCCTGTATCTCTCTGCAATCCAATGGCATGCGGGAAAGGAAGGCAGCCAACCAGTGATGGACACGACTGAGGAGCAGTATATATTGAGCGGCGTGGGCAGCGTGGTGGACTCGGATGGAAGGCGCCTGACGCGTGGCTCTGGCTTCTGATTGGTCAATAAAGCCTGTTCTGTTGTACCCGTCTTCTCTCTATTAGGGCTCGGGTATTCCACATTGGTGGCAGCGGATGCGTTCGAATAACGCAAATCGAACCCCAGCCCTTTCTCTTCAGTGGTCAACAGAGGCAAAGACCCTTGAATGTCAGTTGAATTTGCCATGGCGGTCATCCGATGTCCTAAATAATTGTATCCAGAGACATTGCCCGGGATTAGGACCACTGCATCTGAAGAGGCATTGGCAACTCAGCGACGACGACTTGGACAGTGAAAGCCAGCTGGACTGCATCTGAGAATGGACCTTCGATGGATGATGAGTTCTTCCTGCAAGTCTACAAGAGCAAAGTCCCTCGTCAACTATTCGCATGGGCCACTAACCTGCCAGACGTGGGGTGCGGGAAGTGTCGAACTGGATATTTTACCACTCATGAGCAGTGCCGTGAACTAAGCTAGAAGCTGAGGACAGCTTTACTCCTGAGGGGCAGGCAGTGTGGCGATGGATCAGGGCGCAGACAGGTTGGACCACCTGGCCGCAGCCAATCCTGTGTCTCTCTGTGCTCCAGTGGCATGCGAGGAAGATAAGCAGCCAACCAGAGGAGGACACGACTGAGGAGCAGCATATAATGAGCGGCGTGGCCAGCGTGGTGGACTCGGATGGAAGGCTCCTGACGTGTGGCTCTGGCTCGTGATTCCTCAATAAAGCCTGTTCTGTTGTACCAGTCTTTTTCCTTTAAGGGCTTGGGTATTCTACCGTAGCGGTTTGACAGATAGCCGCCATTTTGGTTCTTGGTCATTGGTCGGGGGTGAACAGCACTGCCTCATGTGACCGGGAGCGTGAATTTGGTTTCGTGGCGTCACGTGGGCATTGAGTTATGCGTTGAAACAGAGTGCTAATCAACTCACGAATTTTAAGTCTCCAATGCAGCACCTAGGAACGAAACAACAGGAGATCGAGGCTACCACGCCGAGGCTATATAAATCCCTGTATTTCCCGATGACGCTGACCAGATTGTAGTCATCTCTGTATCAAATTAAGTTATTCGCACTTCTCTAAGCATTGTTCTCATCATTGGTCTGAAACTTACAGCGCGTCTACTGTGCTGACATAGGGCTTAAATATATTAGATAATGTCAACTTCACGAAATCCTCTGTCTGTTTAGGTTTGACTGTCTTCCAATGCATATCGGCACACAACGAAAGAAAACTCATACAACAATATAAATAATTAGAGGCGCTGCTAGTAAAATAGACGGCAATGACTATCGGATTTCGGAAAGTCTTGGCATCTGTGTGCCACAGATGACTGCACCCATTTATTTTTTTATTTTCATGTTAGTTATCAAATAATAACACTGAGAGAGTTGCAGACACCTCAGCAATAACATCAGCATGTTTCTTTTAAAACTTTGCATTATGTCGTGCATAATATTGTGATGATCCTTATGCGATTAGTCAGAATGTTGGCATGAAAAATCAAATGCAATGCGACAACAAGGCGTACCCATTTGTCTAGTTCCAGTGAACACGTGTAACCATTATGATTCAGTTCAGCTTCCACTGCAATATACGACCTTTTTATTGATTTCTTGAATCAAATGTGAGAAGAATGGACATTTAAATTGTCTTTACTGGTTTTATCAGCAGAGTTGATGTCAACTATTAACTGACTGAATATCCCGCCATAGAAAAGCACAAAACGAAGTGATAGTTTTATCTGCAAATTCAGTTTTTTACTTTTTATAATGGCACCCTAAGTTAAGATACCCAAAAACGTCAAACCCTACGTTGTCCATCAACTAAAAACTGACGCTCTACCGCGAATCGGGGTTTCGGGCAAACCAAGTATTGAAGGATGGTGTACCAAAACTGCGCAACGTTTGCGTCCAATACTCTGAAATTTAATTTTTAATTATCGCAGTATAAGTTTGAATGAACCTTGTGTCTCTTGACCAGAAAAGATGTAAACTTGACGAAATAAGTATAATTTGTCTGAAGTATTTTTTAAGGCTTCCTTTTAGCAACTATTTTAAAATAACAAAAAATGTCGCGTTAAAATAATGCGATTGAGGTGCTGTATAACTTAGAATTTCATATTTCTGCATACAGCTTGTTTAGTTTCTTGGGGAAATCCACAGTTTTACGTCAAATAAACATATATTTAAAAAAAGATACATGACTTACGGACTTTATTTCCGTCGTTGAAGCATCTGGTTGTCACTTTTGTTTTTACAGACTACCATTACTATAATCGACTTTTACATTTGCAAATTCTTCTCTGCTCTTTGTGATTGATCGCACTGCTTTAAAAGTCGCGACAACCGTGTCTTGTTGTCATGACTCTCCCTGTCTTTCTTTTAACCTCACACTGCACTTACATACAGAAGCAGCATAAATACCGTTAATGCTGATAACATGTCAGAAATCCAAACCTATTTTTTAAAACTATCAACGACTAATTCATGATATATCACTACATTTGTTGCTTCAATTCTATTATGTGTATTATTAAAAATTAGTTATCTATAATAGCGAGATATTTACTGACATCAAAATCCAAATGAGAGGCAGGTGTGTATAATAGTCCCCGATTAGTAACATTGCTGTATTAATAAGAAATATGTTGTATACAAAACAAAGACATGAATTTTGTTCTTAACCAAAAGACGACCATTTCATTGTGCTAAAGAATAGAGAAATTTAATTGCTTTGCAAGGGCTGGAAGATAAAATTTAAAGGTTACTTTGGCTCACAACACCGGCGTTTTGTGCCTACAGACTTGTTTTATCCCGAGCTTACAGATGATTCTTAAGCCTCACAAATCACTGTCTGATCATTGAATAATAATTGATTCGTGGTTCTTAAACGCACTGCCGTTAGATTAGGAAAGCTTCTTATGGTTATGTCTTTTGACCTAACTTGACTAAGTCTGCGATGGCGTTAACTATAACGGGAAAGCCGCAAAAAAAACAAGTTGGAATAGCTCTGGCAGTGATTGCAATTTGCGTCAAGGTAAGTAGTGACGTCTGAAATTAAACTGAATGATACACATTAGTGCAGGGCTCTTGTTTCAGTTTTCGTACTTGTCGATGAAACATGCAACACTGATTACGCTAAAATTGAACGAATTACTAATTAACAGATTGATGTTCAACCGATATCTATGTAATCTATTTCGTTAGCTCTTACATACGTCATTCCTCACCTGTGTTACTACTCTTTGACTCAACATCTTAACTTGGTTCAGTGTTATAAATGCAGCATGAACAAAATATACCTGAGACGCTTGCCAAAAATGGGACAAGCGACAGCTACTGACTAAAAAACGATTTGGAAGAGCAAAAACAGGGTCTGATTTTGGGTATATCGAGTTCCATTATGAGTCAAGAATTTCGTTTAGTCCTTTAAAAATCTTATGCTGGATTTTCAATTCTTTAAAAACATTTTAAATTTTTAATTGTCTGCTAATCTTTGGAAAATATTTAATGAATATGCTCCATATTTTCGCATATACCTAGGTGATAGAACTATCAATTGTCATCAACATAGAAAAATGTTTCCAAATCACAGACATCTGCGTCATATTTGACTCAGTAACATAGGATTTCAAATGATATCACTTTCAGTCAAACGAATATTTTGACGTTATGGAAATTGAAATCTCTACTGTGAAGAATACATTTGCTTACTTATACTAATTTAGTGCAGTTAACATTACACATAAGAATCTGTTTAAAGTTTTTTTTAAAAACCAGCAATTGCAGCTATTTTTATTCTTTTTAACAATGTCAGTAATTACAATGCATACAAAAATGCCCATTTTGATAATCCATGGAATCCCACAATATTTGGAAATCTTGTCGTTTAAACCGTTTGATCTAAAATTAAAAAAACTTTAAGGCAAAATTAATTCTAAGCTGTTCTTGTATCAGAGGACATAAAATTGTATTATGATCCCATAAGTCACATTTACGTAACGTAAAACTTCGTTCTAGTACAAGGGCAAAAAAATACGGCACATTTGTCTAAATGAATAATTGATTTCAGCAAAGTATTTATTAAAAACAATTATACAAAAAAGCAAACATTTTAAGTCTGCAAGAAAAGCTTCAAAAATATTTAGTTATTTTACTCTCACTGTTTGTTTTACTGTGCATTTGGTGGCTTGCCTCCACACTTTAGCTTTAGGCGTGGTCTTTGTCAGTCAAGAATGGGTGATCGTGGTTGTTTCAATTGTGGTGACCCTGGTCACTTTGCTCGGGAATGTCCAAATGCTTCCTCTGATCGAGGCGGCCGTGGCCGTGGTGGTGGAGGTGGTTACAGCAGGGGCCGTGGACGTGGCGGTGGTGGATACGGAGGTGGTGGTTATGGTGGTGGTGGTGGCGGCGGTTACGGTGGTGGAGGTGGCGGATACGGTGGCAACCGTGGTAAGAGTTATGAGAGGAACTGACCAGCCTCCAAGCTTTGCTCTTTTGGGTACTTGTCTACTGCCTCGCCGATTTGCGGTGCCTAGATTAAACAGCTTGCCTGCAGTTTTTTACGCTTGCTCATGCCTATGAACCCTCGCAGGTAATTGCCGCACGAGGGCTGCGTGATGTCCACTCTTCTGATTATTTATTTAACTCTATTTTTGGTACTGTAGACTCCACTTGCTACAACTGTGGCGAGGCCGGTCATTTTGCGCGCGACTGCACCGCCCCAAGGGACCAGAGCAACAGCGGAGGTGGTGGCGGCGGCGGTGGTCGTAGCGATGTTCAGTGCTACAACTGTCAGGGTTATGGCCACATCTCCCGCAACTGCCCCGAAGCCCGCAAGTAAACGCCAGCGGAACGAGACTTTGGTGTCGCCCGTGGACACTCCACGCCATGTAATAACCCAATTGAGTATGTAAAGGCGTCCCCCAAGTTGTAATATAGTTCATTCTCCTGACCCAAAATTTAATGTCTATTTTTTGACAATAAATTACATGGAGCGTGCGTGCTCGTTTGTGTCTTGTTTCCTGCCCATTGGGCTTATTGTGGGTTCTGGTTGTATCGACGTGGAGGGCCGCGTGTCAGGAATGCTTTGCGCTTTCGTTGACCAGGTCCTTCGGCCGTACAAATGCTGGTCTGAGAGTGGTTTGCGTGTAGTCGCCAGTGTTGGTGCTCTGTACGTGCTACGTTTCAAAATTGCCTCAATTTTTGGTCTTTGGAGCAGGCTACCGAATCCGGTCGAGTTTCGTGTGGGTCCTCGGATAGTGTTGGTTGATCGAAATTTATGTTGCAGCTCGGTTACAGTGTTACGCATCTCCTGTCGGTTTTCAGTCACCTGGAGTACTGGACGTTTTAGCTCGTGGGTAGTGAAGTATCACTAGTGGACGTGAGATGTGTGGGCCGCATATTTGGAGATGTTAGAGGGGATTTCACGAAGCTGGTAGTCGATTTACCAATGCAATTAGAGTAGCGAGGGCCTGTTTACCTTCCCCCGATAGCCGTCTGGGCATCTGTGCTGTCGAGTGTAAATGCAAATCTCGTTCTGTTGGTACTTAGGTGGAAAATCGCATCGCTAGTGATTTATCCAGTCTAACAAGAATCATCGTCTACCGTGAGGCAATATTACACAAACCAGTCGACCACGGCATTTACGGGTATATCTGCATTCTATGGCACTTCTTTTAGTGGCGTTCTGTTACCTTTATAATGAACTGGCTCCTCAAATCACAGTGTAGTCCTTCTCCACTCTAATTATGATAATAGAATCTGACTTCTCCATTTTTAAGTGCTAGATACACCTTCGTGAGCGTCACCTGCCCATCGCAAATAAGGCAGATGTTGAGTATTTGAAGGTAGAATTCAGGTTATAGCCGCAGGCCTTACCGCGGCAAGCGTCCACATGCTTCAACGAGTTAATTGATTTCCCTTCCTTTCCATGAAGCTATTTATCTAAGTGGACTTTGATGTATCACCTCTTCTTACAAGATGAAGCCAGCTTCTTTCAATTCACACACACACGCACTTAAAATATCACACCCCGTTGTAAGTTGTGAGTGAACAAGTTGGTTACAACAAAGCAAGCTGTCTGCGTGATCGATGAACAATTTTTTAAGTCTCTGTGCGCAACATCGGTCTCTGCTGCTTTGCTTACATTTGTTCCGTCGCCAAGGTGACCGCGTTGAGAAGTTGCGTTGGCTACGCCACGTGATTTTGAAGTCTAGTCAGTCTGAGACATATGCATGGGCCACTTGCTCAACCCCACCTCACTTTGGCTATTGTTATCGTAGTAGCGAATTAAAACTATGGCTTCTAAATCAGATCTTGTTGGTGCGTGGTGTCAGTTCCACGTGGAACCATCTGATATGCTCCAGACAATTGGTTTGATCCAGTTTCCGTTGCTGTTCTCAGGACTTTAGTAACTACCCTGCTTGTCTCGACCGTTACAACCGGTAGCAATATGCACAACCACTGCAAGACGTCCACGCCGACGTATTGGCAAAACGTTCCTGGAATGATGGACTATCTAGCTAGACTCGATTGGGAACAATAAACCGCCAACAAACGCGGAGATGATTCAGCACGTGGGACGGAAAGGAAGACGTAGTGCGTTCTCCGAATAGCTATATATTTCCGATTGCCTACAAGAGATTGTGCAAGCCAACGCACACACCAGTCACTTCAAATAGCCAAACTCTCGTTACTGAAAGCCCTTTATCACAGGCACGCGCATACACCTAAAAAATGTGCACACACCGCGCACAAATGCGTACTGACGTATTAGCATCCAAAGCAAGTGTTTAATCAGTCGACAGTCGCCATTTCCACTACCAACAAGGGTTGTTGGGGTCCGTTCAGGTCACAACATGAATTGTGAGCCTGAGAACACTAAAGTGCATCAATGGGGTGACCTGAACGGATCACATGACAGATACCATTTGCTCCGGCCTCGGAAATTACCACAACCGCCGACACTGCCAGGGGGAGTTAATAGAGGAGGTTGTTATGACTTCCAATTTGAATCACGCTCAATTCTACGATGACTTCATTCTATTTTAGTAGCATTGAGTAATTGTAAAGCTTGGTGTCGAGTTCTCAATGATGGCAAAAAAACACATTTGACTGTGCCGACGTTTCTTTCATAATCGTAATATCAAATGACCATTAGCCAAATGCGTCATAATTCAGCAGTACCTCAACAAAGATGAGATTTACCGCAGTTTGTTTGCAGGATCGCTATTCAAAATGGAAAGTGCACATGTGAAGCGTCGCCATGTTGCGTTAAGTGAGTTTAAAAGGCGTGAATTTTGAAAACGCGACAAAACTATTCAACACGCATAGTTGTTCTGAGTTCCAACAGATAGGATGAGCCGAACCACGTTTCCATAGCCACTTCTCTCCTCGTACATCGTTAAAACCAACCTGTCATGCACCAAGTCACTCCATGAGGATTCAAGATGCCCGGTGTATAAAAAGCATTTAATGTTGTCATAGGAGTTCTAATCCACGATTTATCACTGAGGAGATGTCTGAGGAACTTGGTGTTGGCAATTCGACGGCATCTCGCCATGCTTAGGTGGTTGAAGTGGTCTCCTCAATGTGCTACTACTTGAACGCTCTGGAACACGACCACGTGGTCGATGGGTAAGGAATTGCATTTTGGGAATGATCAAGTTGGCACCAGAACGCAACCACGTGCTGAGGTGAGGTGAGGTGACGGTCAGCCACCAGCGTCAACATCATAGCGTGTTTTGTCTTAAGAGGGTCACAAGTTCGCCTCTATCCACTACTGCTGCTGCTGATTATTGTTTAAAAATCTAATATTAGCACGTTTTGAATTCCTAGTAGCGACCGATTCAAATTATTCTTCTGCATACTCATTTCAAGCACACACTTAGGAGTCTAACCTATCTAAAGAAGTCGATTTCTATGGCTGTCAACAATAATGCGATTCCCGTTTTGTAGAATGAGACAAAAAACGTTTGTATTATTCCAGTAGCTTAGACTGTATTCACCGAAATTCTACCGCATTTCTGAAAACTTTTATTTCTGTAGGCTAATGAAGCACTTAACATTTCAAGCACAAATATCGATGAATTGCTTCAAGCGAATTTCGCTCAATTTCATGCGTACCTCAAATGCCAGCTGAATAGACAAGACGCTAGACATTTGTCAAACAAATAAAAGTCCGGTTAAACGCCGTGGCCTAGCGACCTCATCACGTGACGCAAACATCATCCGTTGGAGTGGGGTGTGGGAGGAGGGAGGAGGGTTTACCGAGGGAGATGGCGGATAGTCTGAACCATGAATGTTTACTGGCCTGACATGTGCGCTGACATTCCAGCTCTGGCCGCATCCTGCACACCCCAGGGGTCTGGCTTGACCCTCCCTGAGGTGACTCTTTCACCACGCCGGTCCGGAAATGGTGTCGTCCTCGTAGTCGCAAAATTATCACGTGAGTTGGCCAGATGGGAGCCCACAGCAGCGGAAAGATCACAAAATTGACATGCAACAGTCCAACTAATGGAGTTTTTCACAAGAGAAAGGCTTAATTTCGCCAGGCCACGGAGTTTAATTGTAGGCAATTAGCCCAAATCAAAAAATTTTAATGGTACCTTGCTTGGTGATACTTTTGTGCATTTGGATTTGAAATTGGCGAATCCAGCACAGTGTTCGCAATGAATTGTTTAAAATTTGTGGGAGGTCACACGACAACACTGAGGCCAAGAGTTGGTACAAGCTCTGGTTAGAGCAGCAACAGTAGAAAGAGGCGAACTTGTGACCCTCTTAAGACAAAACAGACGCTATGATGTTGACGCTGGTGGTTGACCGTCACCTCACCTCACCTCAGCACGTGGTTGCGTTCTGGTACCACGCCAACCACAGTCGCATGGTTGATTCTCAACTTGACCATTTCCAAAATGCAATCCCTTACCCATCGACCACGTGGTCGTGTTCCAGAGCGTTCAAGTAGTAGCACATTGAGGAGACCACTTCAACCACCTAAGCATGACGAAATGTCGTCGAATTGTCAGCACCAAGTTCCTCAGGCATCTCCTCAGTGATAATTCGTGGATTAGAACTGCCATGACAACATTGAATGCTTTTTATTCACCGAACATTTTGCATCTTCACGGGGTGAATTGGAGCGCGACATGTTGGTTTCAAAGTTGGACGGGGAGCGACGTGGCTGTGGAAACGTGGTTAAGGTTGTTTCATTCGGTCGAAACATGTGGGAGACATATATCGAGGTTCTAAGTGAATCGGTGTGGCTTTTACTGTCAAAATGGTGTCGAAATATCATTTTTCACAAATAACCGTAAAATTCATTTTCACTGAGGTGGGTGCTTGGACTGAAGGCACCAGTCTGAAGTGGACTGAACCAATATCGACTCATCCTACGAGTTGGAACACAGAACAACTATGCGTGTTGAATATTTTTGTCGCGGTTTCAAAATTCACGCCTTTTCCAACTCACTCAACACAACATGGCGACGCTCCACATGTGTACCATCCACAATTCCCACGAAGCTAAGTTAAGAAAGCGACAGGAATGCAAAAACGTCGGATTAGAAACAACTCTGCTTTACTCAACAATTTTCCAAGCAAACAGCAAGGAAATCAGAGTTATTGGAATTTGATGGATTAGACCTTCAGTCAATTGCTTTTTTTCTTTAAATCTACATCTGAGACCCTTCCTTCACTCTTTTGGGACGTCTTCGTTGATTGGAAGTGGTTTTGGAATTGAGAATAAGTAAATTGCACCTCATGTGTGGTGCATATTTCAGTCCTAACACCAGCATCTGACGCCTCCCCAGCATAATTTGGAGATATCAGATTAGGAATTTATAACATGAAATTCTAGTGATCATTGCCATCGTCGACACAACGACGCTACGTTATCGAATCGCTACCAATAAATTCACAACCATTTGTTTAGCATTGAACAGCACACACGCCCACGGTTTCCAAGTTGCCACACTTGCTTCTGTCGGCAACACATGCAGGAATTTAAACTGGTCCACATTCACAATTTTTGCTCTGAAAATAACCAGGTTCGAGTCACATTCCGAGATTGGAGTCACTGAGCGGTTGATACAATACCTGGTTTAAAAAAGGGCTCTGTTTTCTTTTTACCAACGGCCACATTTAGGTGTTAGTACAACCGACCCATTAAATCTAAAGTATCCGTACCTCCTGGTTGCGCTAGAAGCAATTTTTCCTACTTATCACTCGTCTGAATCTTGGTGCGTTATGATTGGTCGGTGACTTGGCGCGAAATGCAAATTTGTTGAGCAATAAAACGTGAGTCAACAAAGCAGAAATGGTAAATACAAGATCACATGTCTCAGCCGAACAAATTAATACACAGATTTAAACCCCCCGTTAGTGTTTGCATTCAGCTCAGAAGAGATTCCAACTAACCTTAATAAGGTGTATTTATTTGTTTAACTTCTTAGTGTTTAAATATAAACTGTGACGTAGCATAGAGAAATTGAATAGTTTATGCCTAAAATATTCCTGTAAAAGTAGTCGCAACTATACGGATTCGTGAAGAATTCCTACGGAATATACGAGTTTAGCCCAAAAATGTCTAGTTAGAATGCGGAACACAAGATAACCCGGTACAATTGGTGAGGTACAATAACAAAGGGCCAGATTTTTACTCAAGTCCGTTTGAAATGCCTGAAAATGTGCAAGAAATGTAAACTTCCATTTAGTTGAAGGCTTCTTATTTTGGAACCTGATCAACCGACAGATGAAGGCCACCACAAGTCAAGATGTCGATGAATTACGCATATTGAGTCCAAGTCCAAGTGCAGGATCCCAACTGTTTATTGGCATTCGAATCGTTAGATATTCATAAAAAACCACTGATATTCCGGTCGTTGAAGGAAAATCCGGAGATCATCTTGATTTGTTAACATGGGACCATGCTAGTCCTTGTCAAAATTCAAAGCTAAGTGTTTAAAAGCGTTTCTAACTGTGTCACAAATGAACCTGCAATGTGACAGTTGTTTAAGCGTAATGCGGGGTCAGATAGGATTGGTGTAGCTCGAGGTGTGAATTGTGTTAAAGTACACAAGAACTGACCGTAGGATATCAACAAATCGGGTGTTGTTGTTACCAATTCACAGACATGCGGATGGCTCGCAATAATTAATGGCCATTCAAACAATTATAAATTGCCAAGCGCCTGAAGGCACATGCCAATTTGTTCATCCCAATAGGATATTTCAGTTCAAAAATCGAGTTTTTAGTCGTCTTTCCACGGTAGTGATATGGATGATGCGGAGTTTCCACGGTGGAAGTTGGTTCGGAGTAATACGAAGTGATTTTTCATAACTTCAAACTCAATATTTGAACCGAATCCGTCTTTTGGGCAAGAAACATTGGGTTCCTACGCGGCCGATTCGCACGCCAACAGGAGGTATGCTGCTTCAAATTCAGTAGTTTGTGCTGTTTTTGTGGTCGTTAGAGTAAACCTAGAGAGCTGAAAAATTGGTCATTTGCCTCACTTAAAATGGATCAAAGACATTCGCTCCATTGACTTTTAGAGATAAGACGCACACAGTTTCAGCAAAAGAAGCAACGGAAACCCTGAACTATGCGCAATAGCGTGACCGTAAAATTGCCGATATGGGCCAAAGCCAACTGGTTGCTAGTGCATCTTTTAAAATCAAATATTATTGCGCACGAACACGCTGGAGACTGCACAAAATTTCCACGTTTGTGGAACTTAGAAACGAGATGTAGGATGTGATATTCACCGATGGGCCTCATGCCGCCGAAACATACCCATTGGACAAACTGGAAACGTGACAGAAGTACGCCTGCCTAGACTAGAAGACAGGCTTTGCCCATTTGCGGCAAAGCTTCGGGACGCCAGAACTTTCGAGTTGAAACGACATCCACAACAGGCAACCCGGACCAGCTGAGAGGAACACGTCGACTGCTTTCGAATACGAAACGAAGTTTGAAAACCAGGCATAATTTGGAGATCTTCCCAAGTCTCAGCTCTTCCATTCACGCGAGCCGATGGCAAGAAGGTACCAACTGACGGATAGTATTTCTAGTCAATCAAGTTGAGCGTACGCCGACTCAGCCAATTCTCACCACCAGTTCTCGATCGTTTCAAAAGATGGCTTAGTAAGTCGCATTAAAAGCCAACACGTATACCCTCAACTGCCGGCAACGTTCACAACACTACCGTCGCACAGCTCAACAAGCACACCCACGCTTCCATATAGCGACTCCTTTTCCACCTCAAGCCTGTTGATCCGCCGCTTACATGGAAGCTGCCACGATGGACGGCACTCACCGACACCCACTGCTCGCTTGGACGCTCCACAAAACACGCACAATGCCCATGATTCATAGTCAAACCGCCGAGTAGTCACCCCTTACCACCACACGTTGTTCATCAAAAAGCGAATTGCCTACCACTAACGGGACGACACACACAAGTAAAGTTTTAACGCGACAAGATTCGAGCGATTCTTTGTGGGAACAACCACCCTTTGCTTCAAAAGCACTTTGTAGCACCAACACAAAGGCTGACGGATCCAACTGCTAGTAAAGATTAGTAAAAAGCCGGGGAAACCACGCTTTATTGGAAAACAAAATCAGGCGAGTTGTCAAGCGCGCAAACGTGAAGACAGACTTTTAATTGGAGGAAAAAAACACCTAGTGACTAAAACAAGCAACCATCATAAGGTAAACAAATCAAGATACCAGAACCAAACAGCCACACCGACACGCAAACTTGACAGTCGTGCGGAGTTGACAAACGTCGCGTCGTGATAAAAAGCGCCAACTCGACTCAACTAGCATTGTCGCACTCCCGCACGGGACTGGCAAGTTGGCAGACATATGAACCACCAAACAGCTTTTTCATATACACTTGCAAATTGTCGAAAGAAAAATGCACTTTATTCGAGGGCGTAAAATCGACCTTAAACAACACTTAGTATGCAAAAACATCATGCGGTGCACTGGTTGGCAATGTGTCCGAATCCTTTGCACTTGTAACACATAGGACCTTCACCACCGGCCTGCGTACATTCACGAGAAAAGTGGCCAAAACCACGGCATCTGTAGCATTGCACTTTATCTTTTCCACCACCACCTTGCGGACACTCCCTCGAGAAGTGCCCTTCCTCACCACAATTGAAGCAGCCACCACCACTGCCGCCTCCACCACCACCGCCATTGCTCTGATTTCTTACGACAGTGCAATGACGGGCAATATGGCCAGACTCTCCGCAATTGAAGCATCCATCTGCAGCAACAAAAACACCTCAGTCAGCATATATCCAACCTGACCACATCGTGCTCACAACCCTCGTACAGCCAAACACTTGCGAAGGGCAATGGGCGCGTGAGAGCCAGATCCACAACGCAAAAACTTTCTAACCACAACGATCCACCGCCAGCAAGGCAAGAACGGAAGATCGGATATTAACTCGACGCCTGCTGAACACAAGAGCCTCAATCTTACCCCGGTAGCCTCCTCCTCCGGCGCCGCCACCGCCACCACCACCATATCCTCCATAACCGCCGCCATAACCACCACTAAAACCTCCGCGAGAACGACCACCACCTCGACCGCGGCCACCCGATCCACCATGCGGACAATCTCGGGCAAAGTGGCCAGGCTCACCACACGAATAACACGTAGAATCACGATCACCCATCTTTCAAAACCACAACTCGACCACCAACCAAGATATCTCGAGGAAATGTGCAGGAAACGGAGATTGTGGTGAATTAAAACAAGTGAATTTAATTGATATTCGTTAAAATATGACACAAGTATAAATAATTATATGCGCAATTTAAAGCTATCAATTTTTTTAATAAAAACGAAAAAAAGTGCCTGAAAGCTTTCACGACGAATTTTAACATTTGATGTCTTTTTGCTTTGGAATACGACATTGTCTGATTTGAAGCAATTCCATGACTCAATTTTATTTGTCTGCTCAAAATATTAAAAGACTTTTATTTTAACTGCAAATTTTCTATTACATAGCGTCTACCAAACGAACGAAAATCTAATTTGTTTTCATCAAAATGCCGTGGATATTGAAGACATTCGTATGTGGGGTCTAAACGAAGTAGCTAAATATGTTTTCAGAACTCAGTGGACTTATTATGCAAAAAAATGTTATCGAGGTTGCAGATTCAGCCTAATCACATTTGAAAACCGCATTAACGAAAAGGAATTATAACTGTGATTTTATAAGCACCTTAGGAGTAATCTTCTTTATGTTTTTATATAAAACAAACATAAGGTATTGACAGTGCATTTTAGTTTTAAGAGGCAGAAGAATTTACACTATCGTGGGTATTTTGTAATGTTATTTTTTTGAATTTAATCAGACTTAGTCCTCGTGGGTCATATTTTTGTTTTTTAATTGTCGGGCTTTTTTGTTTTTTCATGTTCCAGTTCTTACATTTAGCTGTGTTTGGTACTGAACAGATATATTTATATCATATATATCACAATTATTTATGCCTTATTCATCTAGTCACGGTGGCGAAATGTTGAACATTTGTTCACTTTAGTTCAATGGTCAATTGTGTAAATCAATGTTACATGCATCCTATTAACATTTTCATATATTTTTTCATGCATATTTTGCACTTGTGATATGTTGTCCATGTCAACCTTTCCATTAAAATATCATCCAAACCTTACTAACTTGTTGCTAGTTAATTAAAGATGAAACGTGTTGTATCCAGACAGCAATGCAGATGTTTTCAATTATACACGAAATTTTCCCAACCCTAATAAATAAAAATATATGCAATTGCGCCGTTTGACATGGAGAAATTTTTATGTACTATATATCAATTATGAATTTGTTTATTGCTCTTGTCTTATAGTGATGCAGTTTTAGTAGTTGTGGCATAATGTTTAAAATGTGAGATGATGGTAAGGCGTTTATCGGAAATGGTGTTTGAGATTCCTAACACAAGTCACGATGAGGCTTTAGCTTTCCCATCCACCTAAAATTATGTGAGAGGAAGACAGACTTTTTGTTAAAATGTCCTTCACAGGAAATGCCAGTATTTTGAACATCTGACCGGTCATGGAACTGATTTCGAACATCTCGTCTTAAGTTGTCTAGGTTAATTTGCAATTTTACTGTCTGCAAAAAAATTTTGAATAATTCCTTTCCTGTGACGCCAGAAAAAGTGAACAATTTAGCTGTGAAACATCAGATGCTTCCACAGAAGTTAATTTTAAAGTTGTTTTCTAGAGCTCAAATCTCATTAACGCAAACTTCAAGGGTAAAAAATTAAAAAAAAACAATTAGTGTAAATCCAAGGTGCTGCACTTTTGTCTACTTGGTGGCATTTGAAGATTGCGAAATCTCAGTTAAATATTTGAGTAGTGCAAAGTAGACTATTGGTCTATCTGGTAATTGATTTTGTCTAGTCTAAACAACTACATTAAAACCTGACTGTAGCTTTAATACGAAATCAGTTTTCGATCGGTTTGATGTCTCCACTCGCATGAACAATCTGTAGTTAAAACCAAATCAGCAGATAGCTGAAGGCTAGCTTTGAAGTCAATTCCAATATGGTAGATTCGGGTGAGTAGGAAACGCTACCTCTAATATATAAAGAAGACTGGTAAACGGCACAGGCTTTATTGACTAGTCATAAGCCAGAATATTACGTCAGGCATCCATCCTTGGTTCTGGTTGGCTACAGATCTTCCTTGCAGGCCTTCCAGAAACATAGAGACAGAGGATTGGCTGAGACCGGCTTGAGCCAATATGTCTGTGCTTTAGTACGTTACAACGGGTGGATGGTTCTCACCCGTGGTAGTTTAATTTTTCCGTTCTTGTTGAATGGGACTGCTGCATAATGCAATGCCGCAGAAGTGTACATAACTAATGGAGGCATTTAATCGATAAGAAGTGAAGAATATCTAGTAGACGTTGCTATAGTGACACAGTAGTTGAGCATCTCCGGACTCTGGATGTAGCAAAAACAGGTTTTACATACGATTCGTACTTTGCATTTTTCTACCATGTATCTCCAAAATAACCACACAGAAGTCAAGGGGATATAACATTGGTTGAATGCCTTCCACTTCTAACACAGTTGCAGCTCACACACTAGGATTCTGGTCACGTGTACAACGAGAGCAGATGGTCAGGAAGAACTATCTAATCTTCCACAGGCAACCAGTTAAGTACGTGTATGCGTGTGTGTCCTTGCCCCAAATAATCGATGAAAACATAAGCTGTTAATTTGAAAATGAAGAGGCGAAGTAGAGATTTAATTGAAGAGGTTTATTTGACAAACCCAAAGCCAGAATCATCCGTAAGGCACTATTTGCTTGAGACTTCTAACCAGGCTGCACCATACACTCTGCAGTTCTTTTTTATCCATCCTTGTCCCCGGTTGGCTGCTGACATCTAGCGTCGGCGATTTAAGGACAGACGATTGGCTATGCTCGACGTAATCCAATGTCTGCGCCAATGTAGGACACTGCACTACCTTTCCTTTAGATATTTCAGCAACGTTCACTACCCGCGTTTCGCGTAACACTATGACCTCGATTCAACAACCTGTGAGGAAGCAGTGTCGCGTCGAAATCAGATCTTCTTCTACTTGACGGCGTCTCGATAGGATATTTTTGCTTAAATTAAAAGCCATTAATTGGAAAATGAGTCAAGGGTGGGACTTGAACTCGAGACACCCCCAAGCCTCGTCTACGGTGTTGCCTTCAAGGTGTCCACAGTCCGGTAAACCAAATCTCCCGACACCGGATTTACGATCATTCGAACTTCCGTAGTAAGAAAAAGACAGTCACAACGCAGCAGTCATTTTGACTGTCCACAAACCAAAATCGTCCGTTTAGCACCGTCGATATGAACGCGTCGCCCACTGCATAATCTCTGGTTGGCTACTTATCCTCAACATAGGCCATTAAAACGCACAAAGACGGGTGATTGGCCAAGCTCATCGTAATCCAATATGTCTGGGCCCTTGTGAGGCACTACACCGCTTTGTAATGCAGCGGTGGCATTTGTAGGCGCATCCAGGGTGTGTGTGATCTACATGACATGTCAATGGTGCTATAGGCCAACCATTTTGCAACACCTGAAAACTCAGGAGTAAAGCAACCAATGTCAAGCACCTAGATTACGTTTGATGTGCACCATGGCTCGAAATTAATTGGTGCAGTGAATACTTAAATGCTTAGAAGCCTTTATTAGTTTCCACGGGTGAGTTAATACAAAAGGGATATAGTCGTAGTAAATTTAAAGCCACGCCAATCGGATGCACCTCATTACTCGTGTTCCCAATGATCTGATTGATTAGGATTGTTTGGCGGCGAAAGCTTAAATAGCCTAAACACAACTAGAAATATTAGTGCATGAGGGAGACGATTAAATCGCCGCACTCAATGATCGATGATCAGTTAATGGCCGACGTCACCTTATATTTCAACGTAAGAGACCCCAATCGTTACGCCAATCGTCTCGGAGACAGCATCAATTATTGGGGGACGAAGAGAGGCTGCAAGCCTGACTAATGATTGGCCATTGTGCACTGCTTACACCATGCAGGAATGGTCGAGATGTGGTGCCGAGCCTCAGCCAATCCTCTGCCTATGTGAGCGCATAATTGACATTCGAGGACAATCAGTAGCCAATCAAATACAAGGATGAATAATAAGAAGTATCATTTAACGAACGGCGGGGTCGCTATGGAAGATTCAGATTTCTGTCTTGTGGCAGGGCTAAAAGTCTACCTTGTCGTACCTTTCTTCTTCATACAAAGACTCGGAGATGTGACGAGGCCCCAGCACGATCTACCAATCAAATCCCTGTTTCGACACAACACCAAAATCCCACTGGCTGTTGATGTCTCCGATAATTCCAAGGTATAAGGGGCATCAAAATCAACCGTTTTGTTGTCGCAGACACTTAATCGCAACTTGTCAACTCAAAAAAACCAAAACTTTTCAAGTGATTAAAAACATGTCTGAAATGGGGTCTATGAACCTGCGTGGGAGGTTAGAAGGTGCAAGTGCAACTGTTCTTGAACTCATCGGTGATTTTACCATTTTTTTACATATTTTAAGTAAAATGTTGACATAGGACTCCAAAGGTCATACCACGAGTACGTGATAGCTAATAATGTGATCAATAAGAGCTATTTACTCACCCAACACACCTAAAATAGAAAATCTTACAAGCAACCTGATCATGTCAAATAATTGATCGATATTATTAACGTTTATTGGCCTTAAGAACTTTGAGATCTTATTCGAAATGCAAACCAATAAATGCACAGTACTCTTAGCCAGTAAGATTGTTGTGTTCTCGGAGAGGTGGTGAACCAATGAGGCGATAGCGCGGTCGATTCGAAATGCTGTGAATTCCAGGTTTGATACATGAGTCTACAGAACTGTGCCAATTAAGGCGCTTAAGAGAATACAGGATATTTTACGGTACTGTTAATGCTTAAAATACATCACCACTGAAATATTACTTAAATTCGTGATTTAACATGGGGAGTACTTAGGAGTCGCAGAGGAAAGTGCTCTGTGTATCATTTAATTCTCCATATTGTCTTTTCGAAGGACGCACATTTAAATATTCCAGATGCAGAACCAACAGTCAGAAGAGAACTGGAAGTGGATGCATGGGTCTTTTAAACTGGCATAATTTGAACCAAAATTACACAAAAGCAGAAAAATCACTCGAAAACATCCAGAAATTTTGTACTACTTACGTTACGCATTAACGTCGACTCACGATATCTAGGGAAGTGCACTTTGTGTCCATCATCACTAAAAACAACAACGTTTAGCAAAATCACATGATGTACGCATCAACTAAGCATTCTTGGCTGGTGTTAACGGCTTCCTCCACTTTTTGCGTCACATTCAGGTAGGTATAGGTGTGTTTTAATTTAACCATGACTCCTGGCGTCGATAAAAGAGCCTTCAGTTAACACTTCCAAACCTCCGCCACCTCATGACATCCACGCACCTCCAATTTGTCCTCACTGAAGTCATTTCGTGGTCGTCAACGACGACGACGACATCTTCTTTGTCGACTGTACCAAATCTTCGAACGGCCATGTCGAAAGAACGATTTTGGCATTTTGACGCTACATTTTCGGAAGTAAAACGAAGAAACGATCCACTTTACACGAGACAGATGGCATCGTTTTTGGAAAAATCAAGAATTTTCTTGATTAGAGGTGGGCTCCTCTTGCCTAACTCGTGCTTCAGCTGGAACCGATGGTATTTACCAGAGAGCTGACCTTTAATAAAAACCGACAGTAATGTTGTTGTGTGCAATAATAATTTTTTTCCCTCACAGATCCACGCAAAACCATCGCTCCCTCACTAGAGGCCAACAATTGTCCCTAATTTTAAAGCCAAAATTGTGGAACGCTAGGTTATGCAATGTCGCTGTCAGTGACTGCCGATTCATCCGGAAAAAAACTTCGATAATGCATAGAAAAATGCTTCGGAGCTCCACAACTATTTAGGCTGGATAATTATAGACCACCCAGCATACCCCCAACAGATGTTTTCCTGTCGAACTGCCACCTGTTCAAGTTACGGAGTAATTTCGGTTTCCGTGGATGAAAAACTTGCCTAATGGATTAGCCACTGAGATTTGATTCAGAGAATGCTGTGTACGGGAAGTTGAAGCAGATGACCACTAAGTAGGGAGGCTAATTCTTTGACTATTTGTGTTAAACTTATCAAGCTTTATCATGCTGGCTTGGATTGAGTAATTCATTGTGGTTTTTATTCGGCTTACTCAACAAAAGCAAGCAGTGCAGACACAATTCCATCTATCTTCTTAGAACTGTGTTTGTGAAAGCTGCAAGACAGCGCCTTCATGACTAAAGTTTCACAGAACAGAAATAAATATAATGAAAATAGGGCCTAATTTGAGGTGGATCGCAGAAGACGGAGTCTCAAATGTATGTTTTACCGTTGGCGAAGAATTTTGTCGGGATATAGACGGCTCGAGTGAGAGTTACCTTGATATGTCAACCAATAGGATTAGGTGGCTTATTATCCTACAAAATCTATTCATTTTGCAAAACTGCAATCCTCCTATAAGTCAGGATGTCTCAATTCCAGCCGTAGTCTGGTGGCAATAGAATAGAAAGTGCTTTCAAAGGCCTAACAAATGACTTAGCATTGATTAGTAAGGTTTGAACTCTCCATAAACGCTGAGACTCAAATTGTTTGCAGTAAATTGTAAAGACGTTTCATAGTTTGCTAACGGGTCAGTGCGAATCTAAATCACTCAATCGATTTCTCCATCTTCCATTCATTTGCCCACGTGACCAATGGCAAATGAGCGAGCCCGGTGTAACATCACCCATGATATTATTGATTTATTCGTTGTTTTAATCCAGAATCCCATTGAGCGCGTCTTACAATTTGTTCATTGGACGAGTAATTTCTTATGCAAGTCAAAGATATTTTTCAATACCGTCCACAAATTTGTCGTTTAATTTTACGGTTTACTCTTATTGTTTAGGTTAACACGTATGTGTTGTTTAAATTTATTCTTCGTGGGACCCCGTAAGCAACGTTGAGAACTATGCAACCACACATTTCTCGAGATCAAATCCTTCACCCGTTGAGTTGATCTTTCACTTTGGGTAAATCTTGCCTCTCAATTTTCCCAGTCCCATAGTTTGCTACGGCACACAAGAAATGTGAAGATTATGTTGTGAAAACTTTTTATCTAAATTTTTACAACGCTCCTGTCCGCTACCATCTTAAATCGATATTCAAGAGCCGCAGAATGTCTGAACCATAGTAAACTGTCCCTTCTTTTAAAATGAATCAGCTTTGGTAGTAATGAATCAAAGAGATTCTAAACTAGCAAGAAATCGAAGAAAACTTGTAAAATTTAGCAAATCATGTACCACAATGACAATGAAGGGTCGCAGTAATCTCTAATAGCACAGCCAGATTACCAATTATTTCCAAGTTCACAAGAATATTTCAGTAATCAAACTATCCACTGCTTACGAATATAAAGTAGGCAAATGCTTAATTCGCGTTTTTTGCCTTGTCATTTTTGTTTCATACTGCAAAACTGGATGTACTTTTGCACTCCACAGAAAAAAAACGCAAGACGGTGATTGGTTAGAAAGTAAGTCTCACTGACCTAGACACCAGGCTGATCTTCGATGCACAGAGTAGGGGAAAACGTCTCAATCAGCCAACTTACATCTACCTACCCTAGAATTGTACACCTGTTTTTTCCGAGGTGCAGATCCTAAGAAGTCCAAACTGATCGCAACCCAACTTTCCCAAGTCTTACAGAAACCTTCATCAGCCCCTAATTGACGACTTCAGCTCAGCTCTCACCTGATTGGTTGGTGGTTGGCGTAGAAGGAAGCTTAATTGCGTCTAAGCTGATCTGTTTTACGATGAAACTTCACGTTAAATCGAGGTTTTGGAGTTTCTTTTTTTCGATAGGCGTTTCTCTAAAGCCCCATCAACACTTATGATCACGTAAATTCGGTAAATTCAAATCACAACCGCGCTTATTTGACGCAGAAAAGCAAATTCCCCAACTACAAAAAAACATTGTTAACGCGATGCGCTCAAATAACTCTCAAACCACACTCTGAGTAGAAAGACCTCGGGCGATTTGAGACGAAGTGCTCTTCTGCATTCTGGTTCTCTAGAAAACGCATTTACACATTCAAGTAGGTTGAGATAAGTCAGCATTTGTCGGGTTCCGCATTAGTGAAGCAAAAGACAAGGAGTACGAGCGTGTGAGCCTCTCGCTCAAGGTCAGAATTGTGGATAAAAAAGGGAGATGATGGGATCGGAGGGAGGAGGGGGTGTTGGCGTCGGCCCGGTGGCTACTTCGACTCGTGGGAGTGCTGATGCCGGTGCAGCTCACGCACCTCGTCGAACATCATCTGCTTCAGTTTTTCTATCGGCTGCTCGTCCACCTTCTCCTCTTCGTACTCAAACGGATTTTCGCAGATTGGCTGAAAAAAGAAGACGGTAGAATGGACCTTTTGCTCCACCGAAACCACCCCAATCGTGTTTACCCTGGTTATTAAATTGGTGTCGAGTTTTGGCCATTGGTGGAAAGAGAAAGAGATGATTTAGGCAAGTTTACTGGCAATGACAAAGGAACCGTGTGTTCCAACTGTCGCACCTCACCGTGGAGCTTGATTGGGAAATGATTTTACGCAGACAGACCTTGCATTACCCGAGCGAAACTCCTTGGACGCCAAAATGCGAGTCAGCGCCATTACGGAAGGTACACCACCCAAAGAATCCCCTCAAATGGCAGTTGACGGCTACATCTCGCGACTTGAGCATCCGCAAGCCAAGTCGCAACGATTCACAGACCCAACGCTTAATCAAAACCATTAGAAACACGCCATCGGCTACACGACTTGGCATTCCACAGTTCGATACATCGCCTCCGGGCCTGGGATTATTCAGCGATTAGGCAAAACACATTGCTATCGGTGCAGTTAGTCGAAATGCGAGTCACTGATTTGTGTAACCACTAAACCCGCACACACACACATGCACACACGCACGCGCCTTGGCAGGCATAAGAAGGAGCATTTGAACTGGTGTAGGTACGAAAGGCAATTGACGCTGTCATTGCGGGTAGCTGCGCCAAGAGAGAGAGAGCGCGCGCGCTTCACAACCCCCTCCTTTCATCCTCCTTCCTACAATGCGTAGGGGTGTTTCAGCTGACGGCATAGTCTACGGGTCAACTCAAGGCTCCAGGTCAGAATCCCAAGTAGGTTAAATGTCATCTGACGAGAGCGCTGCAGCCGCAAACGCCACGAGTTTTTGTTGTGGGACGCGGGTTATTGACAAAATATGACGAGGAAGACCAACTCTAAAACCACGATTCGGTCTTGCCCCAAGCAGACACCAGCCACGCCTTCATATTTGAGCACACCATTTTGAAAAAGATTTACGCTTCTTGAATGGTCCGAATTGTCGGGGTTTCGGCCAATCAGGCGCCCGTCTGAGCACAAAAGCACAACAAAACCATCACCGCGGAAATCAGAGGCACAGTAATCAGCCAGTACCTCATCCTTTGGCTCGTAGAAGGACCGCAGATAGGGGTGTTGGAGGGCCTCCTCCACGGAGATTCGCGAGGACGGATTGAAGGCCAGCAATCGATCCAAGAGGTCTAGAGCTGGAAAAAGGTAGAAAAAAAAGCTGAAATGCAAGTTGGTTGTTGCTGTTGTTTTACAAAATCCTCACCTGACCTGGCTTCGTTGGTTAATTAGAGGACAGCTAGGCCAAATTCAGGTCACGCGAAAACAATTGAAAAGAGGGGAATGTCTACTTCATCTAAACGCACGTACACACACACACACCAGTAGTAATTAGTAAGGCTACGTTGATATCCCATTGTTTTTGACACCCACAGGAAATCCGAGAGACACAAAGATTTGACGATGAATAGACAACACAACCGACTACTCGGCAACAGGACTTGTTCCATTTTTGCCATGAGGAAAAAGGAGAACGTGGATGTCGCTGGAAGCACAGACGATCAAAATGTACAAAAGTGAGACGAGATTTGTGAGAAATGCGATTCCTGATTAGAATAACAGACGATGCAACTTGGATGGGTGGTACCCTCGTGAACACACCTTCCGAATTGGGTCGACAGACTTGCTAGCGAACTACACCAAAAGCATCTGCAGGATCTTTCTTGCTAGTGTGGTTCGTTGTGGCTGGTTTTCAGGTAACTGGCGGATTCCAAATTCGCTTAGATTGCTTTCTCGGGCATTAATGATGCGACTTGGTGCATCTACACTCTGGAATGCGGAAGGATTGATGTGAAATCTAGCGTCTGGATCTCGTAAGGGTAGCACAGAGGGCGGCTCTAGCTACTAAAATAGAAACAATCTGACATGGACTAGCCCAAAAAAGATGTACTGTTTACAGTAAACAGTGGAGATTTCAACGATGAGCTACAAACCCATAGGCCAGTGAGGGAGAAGGTTGAATCGAGGAAGACACTGGTCAAGCAGGACAGTGGTCAGATGAGAACGATGAAGCACACGTCGGTCCAGATGCTGCCTCGAAGGAAGTGCAAAGTAATCACTGGCCACGTCATGGTGACCAATTTCAGTTTAGCGTAGGGGATGGCTATAGTGTGTGCCCTGAAAGAGTTGACCAGAACACCCAGTCGCTGCTTGACGAAAACGATGCAGGAAAGAACTATTGCTAGACTCTCCGGTGAACATCGACTGGCCACCACAACTGGAAATTGTGGTTGCCTGCTTTCGACACCTTGGAAAGACACGAAAACGCCTCGGATATTCGTGGACGAGACAAACTTATGCGGCAACAAGTTGGTGGCAGCTGAGGAGATTGCATGGGGGAACGACAGGGACCACAAGCTTCACCCAACCAAAGATCTAACTGATGCCAAAAACGAGATCCGGAGCAAGAGATGAAATTCTATGGTTAAGTGTTGCTCTAAAACTAGTTTAGTCCGGGAGAAAGGAAAGAACACACACATCGATTTGTAGAGTTCTTGAGAGCCGGTGGGTGTTCGCGGAGTTCACGATCACCTACGAGGTCAAGCGTGCTTCAAATCGTGATTTTTTGTTACAAAACACCACCTAGCAGTCAACTTTCCGCAACACAAATTGATTCCGTGTGAAAAATGTGGCCTATAGAGACCGCATTAAGTTGCATCGATCAACATTTGAGCACTACGAGAGAAGGAGTGGTGGCCTGGATTCTCACAGACCAAAATCGACAGTGCGTGCGTGCTAAACGCCATCTCACCTACTAAGAGTAACATGGTCCGCCACGAGTGAGCTGAACTCTTGCTTAAATCAGCACTCGGTTGAACAGACCCATCGGGGTTTGGAGTCTCAACGAACAAGTTGGAACAGAACACTCCAAATCACGAAAATGAAATCGATCCTGCATATGGTCTCAAGGACGGTTTTCCGCAGCCTTGTAAATTTCACGTGAACGGTCAGATCGGGTGGTGGACCAGAAGTTTAAATACGAAGGAGCCGCAGCAGTATCGCACGTCTGTGACGTAGCAGGAATGATAACTAGAAGGTAAATACCATCGGCACCAATCAGTTCAAGCCAAATTAATACGTCTGGTGACTGGTACAATCATGAGCTAGGCATGAGAGACCCGCCTCGAATCAAACAAATTCGTGACGCATCCAAAAACGGTATCATCTGTCTCTCCGTTGTACCTCCAAGATAACAAAATCCCCCTTTCGGCAATGCCGGCTGCTTAAGAAAGCCAAAGACGTGATCCACGGAGAAGTCGTCATCGTCGTCAAAATGCTGAAATTTCCAAAACGCAAACACGGGGCCAGTTAGTGCCTCAAACTAGCGCACTCAGACGCACAAGCCAGTAGATGCTAGCACAATCTACACGCCGTTAAACCATGCCTCGTGTGCAATCGAACCTCATCTGAGAAAACACTAAAAAAAGCACACAATTTCAAGTGCGTGTGTGTGCGTGGGATTTCGAGAGCAGAACTTTGCAACACAAACACGCCAATCTCCACTGCATCAAGAAATTTCTCTCTCTACACACACACACACGGCGTAGCGTTTGATATACAAGGGGGCATGCATTTGTGAGAAGTGCCTGGACCACAGCCTCCTGATTACCCACACTAACATCTTTTTCAAAAAAACAGTGATTTAGTGTGTTGAGGGGAATAAGACAACGACATCGAGTGCCAAAATAAGCCCTTACCGTGAGGGGCGGCGTTCGGGTAGAGACGGGACCAGGGCTGCTTCGCGTAGGACTGGAAACGGTTCACAAAACTGGCAGCCTACAAGACAAATGAGTGCACACAAACTGCAAAACGCTACACGGCGGTTAGAATGGGCGTGGCCATGGGGCAGCCACGTAAACAACCACACACACACACACAGCCTCGTGATTGCGTCAACGCTGCGTGCCAAACACGAGGGCCTTTCGTAGACTCCGAAGCCAGGAACAATAGAGCAATGCCAACCGGATAGTTGGTAGGTGGCAAGGCTAAGGACTGCTTTCGGAGTGCTCAAAAGAACACGATGGAGTGGTGCGGTAGGAATCGAACAACACGGGAATGCGAGGCGCGGTGGGAATTGAGATGAGACTCCAACTACGAGTGATAGTGAGCTATGCGTGATGTAACGTTAATAAAAAGGCAGTCGTTCAGCAAATCGGACCAATCAAAGCATCAACTGGGGACCGCCAATCTAGCGCGAGGCAATAAGTTGGCGGAATAATGTTAGCTAAGGCTTAGGAGATGTGATTTTCCTACAGGAAGCTAACGCAGCGACTAGAACACCACAGCTA